GAGTAACCCTGCCTTTCCTTCTTCTGTCCTCCTCGGGGACCCCTGGAGGTACCAGGAGAGGGAGGGAACATAACATGTGCATTTTTCTTTGGAGCTGGAAGTGACCTTAGAGATAGACCATTGAGTAAGAAAATTGAGGTCTCGAGGGGTTAAGTGACTGATCAGGATAACACTGTCTGAGGCAGGATTCAAACCCAGGTCTTCTGGACTCCACCCCCAGTGCTGTATTCACTGGACCACACTGCCTCTATAGTCTGATCTCCATGGCCCCTCCTTTGACAGCAGAGGAAACTACAGCCCTGAAAGGTGCAGTGATTTGCTTAAGGTCACACAAGTAGTGAATTTGCTTCAGAATTTGAACCCAGCTCTGGGGGGACTCCAAATTCAGTGCACTATCTACTAGCTAATGATTGCCCCAGTTGAAGAGCTCAGGGGCTCCTGGGGACCTGTCTGCCTATCCAGGCACCTTAGGAGACTGGGTCTGTGGCCCTTGCCTGTCTCTTTATCAGGACCCCAGGGGATGACAGCCCCTGGGGGTGGGGGGGTGGGGTGGCTCACTGATAATGACCGTGATCCAGGGACTTCCCCTTAAGAGCCACCAGGTGGCACTCGGGAGACACCTGGAGAGCCTGGCTGGGCTGGAAAGCAGCACCTGGCGGAGGGGTGGGAAGGAAGTCCATGTAGGAGGAGGGTGGGCACGCTGGGGTCGGGGCCAGGCAGCAGTGCCCCTCCTCTGACTCTTCCTGAGTGAGATAGCGTGAAAGCACTTTGCAGACCTTAAAGTGCTCTATAAACTCTGGCTTCCATTGTCAGTATTTTGTGGCCTGAAGTAGCTGTCTGGTGTCTGGGCTCACCCAGAGGAGCTCCACACTGGTTGTCCCTTGGCCTCTGGCCAGGAAAGCTGTGGCCCTGGGGTGGGGTCGGGATGCCGACGAGCCAGCCGGGAGCTTCTGGGGCCGCGGCTGTGGCAGGCAGACTTGCCCATTCCACCGAAGACTCCCTTGCTCCAGGGGGAGGGAGCAGGGGTGGGACTTTCTCCTTCTGTCCCCCCAGCCCGGGGCTGACCCTTCTGCTCTGGGCTAAGCTGTACCTAGGGCCTTGGGCGGCAGACCTGCTTCCATAGCCACCCCCACTTGCACGTGGGCCGCTCCCCATTTTGGGCCAGATCTGCGGTTCCCCATCCCTCAAAGGCCCGAGGGGCTGCAAACAGTAATGTGAATCCCTAACCTCTGCACCATGCTTTTTTTACTGGACAGTCTTAGAAGGCAATAAAGTATTGTCCCCATTTTACAGATGAAGGAGAAAGGCAGGTTGGGGGTGGGGCAGCATAAAGCTTCAGTGAATGCCCAAGGAGACAAATCAGAGTATCTGGAAATAACGCAAAAACCACTCTTCCTCCTCAGGGAGCTGATCACAAAAGGGTGAGGGGGCTCAGGTCTCATGGATTGATCCCCCAGTGGCCTGTCAGCAAAGAGCCAGCTTCACAGAGACTCGGTATCCCCTCCGCCTCCCTCCTCCTGCCTCCCCTCTTTCAGCTGCCTGCTCGGTCCCTCAGATCCTGGCCTGGAAAAGTCAGCTCATTTCCTGTCCATGAGAACCCAGCGTGGACTTAGGGTCTGCCTTTGCTCCAACCTCCTGGACCTCCTTTACTGGGGGAGCTAGTGATTGGGGGAGCCACCCTGACATGAACAGTGCTTTTAAGAAATGAATTCTTTCAGTTTGTGGCCTGGTGACCTAAGGCATTTATTATTTCAGAGGAACCGCGGCTTGTCTGCTGCCAGCCTAGGCCCCTTGCAGACCCCCTGACAATCACTGCTTTGAAACCCATCAATCCATCCCCTAGATGGCTTCTGTAGGCCAAGAGAGGAGAACCTGTCTGTCCGTCCGCTTCCCCCAGACTTCCTGAATCCTGATGGAGACTAGGAGGAACCTTAATTGTTTCCTTAGAATCTCCTGACCACCTAATCCAATCTGTGCCCATTTCCAGAGGAGCCCTAGGCCTGGCAGCTTCCTCCTGGGCCCCCGGGGGGGGGGGGGGGGAAGGCTGTTCTCAGCTTGCTACAGCCTTGCTGGGGGAGAATGGTCTTTGCATTGTTGACATGGGACATCCCTTCCCACCCTCATCACAGCCCTCACACCACTGCTGCTATACAACAGGAATGTGCCTAGAAGCATTTCCCCTCTCCTGGAAAAATAGAGAGTTGTAGATACGATCTAAGAATTGGGGGGAGGGAGCAGACAGGATGTTGGGACGTATGGGAGGGGGACTTGGGTGGGGAACCAGGCAAGTTTCACCCTCCTTTCTTAGTACTGAGCAAGGAAGTCCCAGAGCAAGGCAACAGCTTTTCCACAGATCAGCAAAGCCCTGTAACTAGAAACCCATGGAAGGAAAAAGGAAGATTCCCCAACTCCTACACATAGTCTCTCCCATACTCCTTTAGGCAATGGAGCTTGGCGGGGCTAGCAAAAAGAAGTGTGACCCTTCTTTAAAAGCCAAGCTCAAGGCCCATCTCCTTCACAAAGCCCTTCTTGATCCATTCGCTTTCTCTTCATGCACGGCCTTGAAATCAGGTCATGAGGTTCTCCCTGAGGGAAGTAGGGTTGTTCATCCTGGAGAAGCAGCTTGGTGGTACAGTGGAGAGAGGGGCCAGACCTGGAGTCAGGAAGACCTGAGGTCGAATCCAGCCTCGGACACTTCCCAGCTGTGTGGCCCTGAGCAAGTCACTTCACCCTGTTTGCCTCAGTTTTGTCGTCTGTCAAATGAGCTGGAGAAAGAAATGGCAAACCACTCCAGTATCTCTGCCAAGAAAACCCCAAATGGGGTCAGGAAGAAACAACCCTGGAGAAGAGGATTCTTGAGGAGGGTGCAACCAAGAATCTGAAGGGTGGTCATGGGATGGATTCGCCTTGTTGCCTTGCCTCCGAGAGCAGAACCAGAAAGAGGGATGGGGTGAGAAGGGAGAGGAGAAGGAAAGGGACAGACTCGAGCTTGAGGCCCGAACAAATGGCGCTGTCCCCAGATGGAGTGGCCAGCCCAGAGGCAGTGAACGCTTCCTCCTCAGAGGTGCTGGGGAGATGACTCAGGGGGTTTGTGATGGGGCCTGTGGACGTGGCTGCACAGCTCCCTTCCCTGTCTGAGATTCTGGGCTCCCTGCCCTTCGTTTTGGGTTCCAAGCAGCGAGGCCTTAGTGGACACACCTGGGCACGGCTTCCCCGACCATGCCCTAACCCCAGCTTTCCTGAAGTCCCGTGGAGGTGGCCTTGCCCCACCATCCTCACTGCACCCCTTTGGGAGAGTTTACAGATCACTTACCTCATCTCCTTTGAGGTTCACAACACCAGCTGTGAGGGAGACGGTCCCAGGTACTGACACCAACCACCTTGTACAGAAGACAGGCTCAGCAAGGTAGGAACCTAGCTCGTTAGGATCACACAACAGGCCTGGACAGAGCCAGGACTAAAACCGGGATTTGATGACTCGGGGTCCTGGAGCTCTTTGGGACCAAGGGGGTGAAAGGGATGGGGTTCCCAGGGCCTTTGCTGCTTAAAGTCACCCAGGGAATTACTGACAGAGACAGGCTCAGAATCCGGGTCTGCAGCGGCCGTGTCCCTGGAGCCGCAGGCCTTCAGGCAGTTCAGTCGAGCTCTGTTCGGAGCATTTATCCAGCACCTGCTACGTGGGCCAGGCAGGCACTTTGCTAAACTCTGGGAATACAAAACTTAAAAATATGGAAACTATCTATTCTCAAAGAGCTGATTTTCTACTGAAGAGAAACAGCGTTTAAACAGGCAAATAAACCCAAAATGAAACACAGGACAGCTAAATATTCAAAGAGCTGTGATGTGGTCAGGAGGAATTTCACCTGTCCTGTTCTGCTGGACACCCCCCCACCCCCACCCCAGAGGACAGAATTAGGTGCAACGGTACAAGGTGTAAAGAAGCAAATTAAGGCAAGGGTCAGAGAAAACTGAGTGGAATAAAAATGAATGGAATAGGCTGCACCTTGGGAGTGGTTGGGTTTCTCCCTGCCCCCACCCCATTGGAGGCCTTTGAACAGAGGACAGATGACTACTTATGTAAAATGCAAATTCCTAGGGGCAGGGACTATAATTTTTGTCTTTGTAGACGAAGCACAGTGCCTAGTACATAGGAGCTTACTAAATGTTCATTGGTTCATTCCTCTCTTTTTCTCCCCCCAGCCAATAATCCAGCCTGTCTCTTTGCCTAGCCTAGTACCCAGAGCCCAGAGCCCAGTGCCCGAGTCCCAGATCCAGTTCAGCCCAACACACTGAATCCAGAGTCCAACATGGCCCAGTTTAACCTGAAGCCAGAGCAGAGCCCAGCCATTTGGATCCTGGGGTAACCACTGCCAAATGTACCCAGGGCAGGAGGTGTGAAATGAGCCCCCAGCTCAACCTGTGAAGAGAAATCCAGTTTGGAGGAAGGAGACCCAGCATGCTAGGAAGCCACAGCTAGGAGGATGGTGCTGACTGAGGAGCATCCCACCTTGTCTATATACCTCTACTATGAGGAAGCACCAGGAAGTTTCCTATTTTAAGTAATTTTTCGTCCTAACTAGGTTAGCTCTGTTGTTTTCAGGCTGCCAAATGACACCAAGTTCTGTCAACAACCTTTAAATTTGGAGCCCTGGGACAGTTCTGGTCATCTTGCCCTGGCTATAGATCAGATTAGTACTGAACCCAAAGCCCTGAGCTGAGAGTGTAGCATTCAGGACCAAAGCAGTCCATCCCAGTACTCGGGAGTCTCAGATTTAGCCCAGAGCCCGGAAATGAGTCGTCAACCCAACCTCGCCCTGAGAAGAGCCCCAAACTCAACCCAGACTAGAGAGGAATCCCCTCCAAAGCCAGTCCAGAGGGGAGTCCCAAACCCACCCTGTCCAGGGAGGGGTCAGAGGCTGGACAGCAGTGAATTGACTCAAGGTTCCCAAAGTGGGCCAGAGTCCATAGCCCAGCTACCATCGGAAGAAGTCAGAAACCAAAAGGTTCGATGCATTTTATTGGAGTCGTTGTGAAGAGCTTACAAATAGGTTTTTAAAATGTTTCAATGTACAGAGAAAATTCTTATACAAATAAAACAAGATGGGTAAAAAGGGGGGGAGTGGTGGTGGCCCAGGGTCTCAGGGGAAAGTGATTGCCCTCTCCCAGGACTGGGGTCAGCGTGGAAGCCACATTCTCTCCATCAAGAAGGGCTAGGATCTTCATAGTGTCTCACTGTCCTGAACACACACACACACACACACACACACACACACACGCACACTCACCCAAACATATACACGCACACACATGCATGTGTAAGCACATACACATGAGGCTAAAAACAAAGGTAAAAATGGGGTTGGAGAAGGATAATTTTGGATAGTTTCTCTCGTGTTCTATATGTGTGTCTAAAAATTTAAATATAGATACGTATATAATCTCATTTAAAACACATGAAAACCCTAGCGTGGCAGTGCGAACATGGAGAAGCCCGACAGCTTCTGCTCCATGCACTACGTACAGCAGCACTGTGGGGAGCCATCCTCCCAGCCCAAACCCTCCCCACATTTGAGCTGGAGGGCAGCGGCAGAGACCAAGAGTCCCATGTCCTCCTCCCTACTGCCTTGACTGTAGAGTGAGCACCTCAGAGCCCCGCGGAGCTGGCGGACGCTGGGGGCTGGAGACCAGCCCAGGTGAGGGAAGGGGGAGGTGCTGGCATGCGGGATCTCACCCAGCGGCCGTGGCCTGGGTATTGGGGACGTTGGATGGAGGAAGGTGGGTGGGAAGAGCCGGAGACAGAGAAGGCCGGGCCCAGACAATACAGGAGTGGCCAGTTCTGGATCTGCCTCACCACTCAGCTCCAGCCTGAGCCCAGAGGAGGGGCAAGTGACGGGGAGCCAGAACCTTAGTGGGTGGACACATGGGAGTAAGAACACTTCGCAGTCTTTGCAGCCCGAACCCCAAAAGCCTTTCCCTGGCTGGGCTTTCTCCTCCCCCAGTTCTGCCCGGATTAGAGTTTCAAAAGAACAGGGCCCGAGTCCGAATCCTCGATGAGGCCCGGGGTGAACTTGGAAGGTGGAATCAGAAGAGCCAGAGAGTCCACACACCCCTCCCGGCTCACAGAGCAGGCCCCCTCTGGGTTGCCCCGTTCCTCCAGGGGACCCTGGACCCCCAGACCCTGGAGCCTTTGCCTCTCCTGGGCCTGCCTGGCCCGGGTGGCAATGTAGCGCACTCTGCTCTGGCTCCGGGAGGAAGACCTACGAAGGAAGCCGGGCCCCTGGCCCGCTGTGGCCGGCCCGCTCTCGTCCTCGTCCTCGTCCTCTGTGGGCCCCAGGCTGGTGGGGGATGTGATGTCGCCGGCCAGCTGGAAGCCGGTCAGTCTCCTCAGTTGCTCGGTCAGCTCATCCCGAGGCCTGGCCTGCAGCCTGGGTCCCAGCGATCTCCCTGCCCCAGCGGCAGGAGCTGGGCGGGGGCCAAAGCTGCGGCTGATGCTCCTGTACGTACTCTCGAAGCCGGGGGCAAAGTCGTCCGATGTGAGGTCGCCCAGGCTCTTGGACTTGGCGGCGGCCCCCACGTCCTGAGCTCGGGGCCCCAGGGAGGACCCCTCTGCCCGGAGGCCCTCCATGTACAGCCTGCTCCACGTGGGCCTCCGGCGGAGGGAGGCCAGAGCATCCTCGGGCCTCCGGGCCAGGGGCCGGGGCTGCAGCTCATCCGGGGCTGGCTGCGGGGCCAACCCCGCCCTCAGGTTGGGGTTAGACTTGCTCTTGGTCACAGGGGGCAGCTGGACCCCGCCAGAGGCGGCTGAGCGGGGCCAGGGGCCCTTGTGCACTGCTAGCCCCCCCAGGTTCTCCCGGCTGCCTGTGAGACAGCCCAGGTTGGGCAGGCTTTTCCTCACCAGGTTGGGCATCGAGAGGTCGATGACCGTGTCATTGGAGGACATGCTGGAGGAAGAGGACATGCTGTCCCGTTGACTGCCCGCCTCCAACTTGCTCCACAGCTGGTCGCTGCCCGTGGCATCTGAATAGACGGCTGCAGCAGGGGACTGTCCCGGCGGGGCACGCCGGACCAGCAGGTGGTCAAAGGTCACCTGCCCTTCGCTCTTGGCCCTCCTCACCACAGCCGGCGGGCCGGCCAGGGCCCGAGCTGGGGCCGGAGGGATTCGCAGAGGGACGGAACCCACAGGCCGGCGGGGACCCTGAGGATCACCTGTGTGCTCTGCCCTCCGGGCTGCCCCATCCGGTTCCTCTTCACGGTGGGAGGGGGAGGGGTGCAGCAGGGAGCCCTGCCCTGCCGGGGGCATGGGCAGAGCCCCCTGGAACTCCTGTTCTCCGCGGTTCGTCTGTCGTTCCCCCTCTGAACCTCGTTCAGTGTGGTGTGGCCCTGGAGCGGTCAGTCCACCTGGCTCACCTGGGGAGGGAGAGCTCAGAGGGGTGTCAGAGCCTGAGCCTGCGGAGCAGTGGGACCCTCCCTCGGAGTCGCTGATGGGGGCGGGGGGCAGAGGGGGGCCGGGAGCGGGGGATGGCGTTTCCTTGGCAACGAGAGGCTCCTCCGCGATGGTTTCGAGGCCGTACAAAGACGAGACAGATCTCTGGATGGAGAACGGGCGGCCATCTGGAGAGAGAAGGGCAGCGTCAAGCCAGGCAGTGGGTGAGTGAGAGACGTGAACGCCGCCCAGGGCCCAGCCCTCCGAGAGCCCCACGGCAAGGGGTGGGGGTGGGGGACCAGGCACAGAGCCCTGGGGAAGTCTGGATGGGGGCGGGGGTGGGTTTGAGGGACTAGAGCCAATACACAGAGGCATCCACCCTCTAAATCTTACATTGCCTCCCCAAGTTCTCCCTCATCCCCTCCAGCCAAGGGTGCCTGTGTGTACACACACACACACACACACACACACACACACACACACACACACACA